TAGAAAGGTTTTGGTATGCCAGAAACCTCTTCGATACATGACGATGACACTGTACCCTAATGTATCAATTTCCTTTCAATAATACCGATCTATTGTATCAATATAAACTAAATCGGCCAAATAGCCTACATTCTACGCAATTGGAAAAATCAACGATGTGGAAATGTGTGTTATGTATGTAACCATACATCTTATAAAGGTTGCCTGGAAGAAATTACTCTTAGTAATAAGGCCGCCCATTGTACCCATCACTTCTAGTTTAAGTATTTAATTTTTGTTTGTTTTATTTTTGGTGTGCAATAAAGTATATTCATTCATTCATTCACCTTATGTATGATGCATATAAATCTTTAGCCCGTGCATCCTTATGTTCAACGTTAAAGGTAGATAACCGTGGGTATGCTGTAATTCATAAAAGACCGCTTTTCGAAGCGTAGAGCGCAGACGCCGATAATACCTTGCATAATTATTTATTGCTTCTAGTTACATATTCATAAAAAGTACTGTACATATAGGACAACCATTTTTTTATGTCCGATTTAATATCATACAAGTAAAGTTTTATTTACAAAACCATTAACTGTAGTTGGGCCACGCAATAGCTTTCATTGCGGCACGAATGGTCAGGTCCGTCCGGGGAAGTACCACGACCTCACAGAAGACCGGCGATAGGTACAAGTGTTATACTTCTGCGTTTCGTCTGTTGAGTGAGGTCTCCGGAGTCCATTTTATTAAAACGTGGCAAAGCATCTGCAACCCTACGGAGTTGCGATTGTCCATGGGCGACGGTTATCACTTAACATCAGGTCAACCACTCGCTTGCCACCTTATCACATAAAAAATAAAACATTTTTAAATATATCACTCACTGTACATCTTCTATCTGCTTTTGAGGAGTTCCCTGATGTATCTCCAGAGTCCAAGGTCCAATACTAATGAGATTATTATGGGATAACATAGAAGCTAAAACGAACTCAATTCCAAAAGAACTCGGTTCATCAATGACGGAGTTCTGAGGTAACGAACGTAAAAGAATGCAACAGAATTGAAAAATCTCCTCCTTTTTTGTAGTCGGTTGAAAAGCACTAAAACTATTATGGCCACACACAACTCGTATGGATCTTAACTTACGAGCATTACTAATGTTTACCGCACTATCCGTTTGCACAATGTAAGCTTTAACGTGTTATAAATGAAGGAAACAGAGATCGCAAGATCCATGCGTGCGTCAAAGGAATGAAGAAATATTTTTAAAACTCGAACTAATTACCCATACAAATACTCGAACGTGAATCGAAAAAAAAACCTCTTGACTTTCACACCGCAATACAACTAGCACTACCACGGAAAACCACAAATACGAAAATCCAATGAATTCGTTGCTAGTTCGTGCGCGGCGAACCCTATACCATTTTTGGGGAAATCTGCTATAAATATACCCACCCACATATACATATACGTGAAGAGAATGAAGCTGTATGCCTGATAGAAATAACTTTATAATAGATGTGTACAATTTTGCGATCTTGCTGTCTTAAAATAAAACTCTTTTCAATATAAGAAGGTGGCAAAAGTACTATAGAATCTAACTTTGTGGTAACAAGAAATAATTTCAAGTATTAAAAAAAATGTAATCCCTGCAACGAACTACAATAGCTTGTAAAGTTCTATATAATTATATCACTTTCTTTGCATAGCCACTATCTGTGTGTTAGCAAACTCTCAAATAATTGTTGACTAGGGTAACTTTTTGTATTGAAAATATAATTTCAGTTTTTTCCTGTAAGAATTTTCTAAATTCATGGATTAGTAAGTTTTATACTGGCTGACAGAAGAAATACAAGAAATGCATATCCTTTTGCAATATTCATTCCTCGGATATTCAATAGACTGTTATAGTGTAACTCTTATACTGTAAGCTAACTTTCATAATGCTTATTATGAAACGAAATGTATTATTATATTCCAATGACATACTTGATTTATTACAATAAAGTACAAATATATAAACGTACTACGAGATATTTCTTAAACACTCGCATGAATTTTTACCATCAAAACATTTGACACGCGCTCTATAAAGCAGATTTTATCTCCGCTTTTAGAATATCGGCTGAGCATTCGTTAACACGTAGTAGTGGCAACGGGAACATAATAAGGCCCGCGATCACAAAAAAAAACTGTACCATAAATTATATAATTTATGCGCCGGCCCCGACGGGCCAACGCAACGTACGTAATCTCATAATGGGAGGCTGCCTCTTTACCTTACGCCGCTTCCTAGCCATTAAAACAGTCTAGATAGTAAACGTCGCTGTAAACCAAACTAAATATTCCCATTTTGAATGCTTAATCGTTTTCCGAAGGCCCGACGCTCGACCGTTTTATGTTTTGTGCGCGGCGCGACGCCTCGGCGGATTTGCATATCGTGAGTTCGTACCGTGGCTCAGATGTTTTTCGTTTTCTCGTGTTGCGTGATTATAAAATTATCGTTAGCTCGCATTAAACATTAAATATAAGAAGACGAAATAAAATTCACGGAGCTGGGTCCTCTGAGTACGTACGTGAATGTTATTTTTCTTATTGCTGCGACCGGCGATGGGTCAGCGAACCGGTGAAATCGGTGTTTATTAACCAAGTCTCTAAAGTCCCGATGCCGTTTGTAATAAGGGGTAGACAGTGTCACGAAGCTAAAAACAAGAGAAACCTAGCCTAGCAATAGAATAATGGACATTCATTAGTACGCATAACTAGATTTCGACCTATTCCACCTATTGGGCCACTAAACCTGTCTATTATTTTTGTGTTACATAAGTATTAAGGTTATGCCAGTTTGTAATATTTAAAGTCAGCATAAATAGTAAGCGAAATTAGGTTCTTATTAATTGCTTCAATCGAAAGAAATTGTTGAGATTTTTTTGAAAAAGTAAAGTAACTTAACAACCCATATAGTTATATCCCACTACTGTTCAAAGGCCTCTCCTCCTCTGTACAGATTAGGCCATAGTCATCCCACCACACGACCCCACTGCGAACTTGCGGACTTTACATATCTTTAAAATATTACTTTTTATTATTTTTAAAATATGTAGGTTTCCCAACGATATTTTCCTTCACCCTCAACGGTCAAGGAAAACACGCGATAAATCAACACTTAAAATTAATAACAGCGCCGGCAACGGGATTTGATCTCAGGTTCCTCGAGTATATTGAATTGAAAGTGAGCGTTCGGACACTGGACAATCGCGGCTTTCACAATTTTTTTAAATATTTACACAATATCCATTTTGGTCGCCCTGAAATTTTTCTCGTGTCGATGTATCCAAAACTCTATTCGGTGTTTTTGCCTTTTTGAGTAACAATAATAACAATTGCAGGCTTATTTGACACCAATCAATCATATTTTTTAGTTAACACATTAGCAATTGAAACGCATGAAACATTTTGATCGTAACTCGAACATTTACGAGAGTAATAACATAAGTAGCACTTCGAAATCTAAGTTATAAAACAAGTTTAGGTCTGCCCAAAGAGATATTAAATAGAAACGCGGTCATATGTGCAATATTATGACATATTTAAAGTTTTGCGAGACTCTGTAAACCAGATTAGCGGCTCAAATCATTACGAAAATATTAGGGGGCTTTGTTAATGTCTCCCGGGTTTCTGGTGTCAAAGCATCTACATACTATAAAGGAAGGCATTGTTGAATTACTCCAAATATTCCTGTAAGACACTCCCTAAAGCGACTGCGAGTAACAATTGCATTAAATATTTACGCGCCTAATGGTAGCCCATTTCAGCAAATTAACTGAACAAACTCAGGCTAAGGAGGAAAACGGTTAAGGTTATTATAATTTTACATGAAACACTGAAGTTTCGGATGGAGCACCGCTTTTAAATTTAAAATCGTCTTAATGTATCCGAATCAATATGGGATTAAAATACTTTTTTTCCTATTTTTTTTTCAACATTTCTCCTCTCATGTTTCTTAAAGAAAAATCGACCTAAGATTTATGGTTCCAGACAGTTGAGGGTGTTTAGGATTAGAATTATTAACAGACTAATAGATAACTTTAATTACGGTATCTTACACAATTCCAATCTTTCGGTATTAGAGAGTAAAGTTTACTATAAGAAGCTGAATTCTTGACTACCTAAAATAACATATTTTCCATCATCCAGGATTTTATCTGTAGATATATAATAATAAAGCGCTTATTAAATGAAACTACTTTACGGATTTTATCGCGTTTTTTTATTTTAATTTAAATTCCCGACGTTTCGAACCCTTTCCAGCGTTCATGGTCACGGGACAGACTAAGTTGTTAGACGTCTTGATGTCATAGTTAACCCCGGCTACCGTCAATTATTTTGTTTATTTTTATTCCGCTAATAAAGCGCTTGTTCGAACCCTGGCAGCGTCGAAAATTTGCGACCGTCTTATTTACACATTTTACTCAAATATACTATTAAGAAAGATAAATCCAGAAAATTGGATTAAATCAATTAAATGAAATTTTTTTTTTTTTTTTATAATAAAAGTAGTTCTCTTGCCATTCATGAAAATATCACTCATTGCACTATACTAATAACGCTCAATTAAAAAAATTACAAGCATACTTTGTAATGCCTTATTGCGTTGCAAGAAGTGGGAGAAATTAGAACACTATTACAGAATCTAACGTCTAAGCATATCATCGCTTAAGTTCATTAATAAGGACATAAATTCAAGCCTTTTTATACGTATTCTTTAATTTCAGCCAGCAGACTAAGAAAATTTAACTTTCTTCATAAGAAACCTGAAGTTATTTATGGGCATGTGTAAGAATAGGTAAGAGAAGAAGAAAAAATCGTATGTCTAACAGTTATTTTGATGAAACAAAATTACATTCATGAAATTTAGGTTAAGCTGGATCCATGCAAATCTGCAGGTAATTGATACATCTCTCAATGCATTGATCACTCGTGATGTTTCGTTCGAGAGAACTGTATACTTAAGCAAAGAAGCGGTCGTTATCGTTCTTGGCCATCTCGGTCATGCAGGCATGGTGGCCTTCACCCAACCTCAGTTCCACACTCAGCGACGCCAAATCCACCATCGACGGTGGTGATTTACGCACGCGCGAGGACAATGTCGCTGCCCCCATTTTGCAGTCCATCATCACCAAGTACTTGCCGTTCCGGATCAGTTTCATATGGAACTTGGTGAGGAACACCATCTTCGGCAAAGGATCTGTAAGGTACCGACGAACTGCTAAATCACACAGTGAAATATCCAAACAGGCAACGGTTTCTACTTCTGTATAAATATGCCGGCTACTCTGGGGATGGTCGACAATCTGAGGAAGGACTGACGTCAAGAGAATTTACCAAGAATTGCGTGCAATCAAAGTAATATATGGTGGACCTCTTACAGATTGACTGCAATCCATCAGGTGTTTCAGAGTTCATTAACCTGCGGTAATCACTTGCGATCAGGTAACACGCTGACTTGTTCACAATCTGCTGTTATATAAAAACAATTTATGCAATGATTTAAGGGAACACTTTATACATGTCCTGTTCGGTAACATTAATTTGCAAAGTTTTGGGCTTGGGTTTGCGTACCTTGTACGTCCATAATATCCCCACATAAAATATTTTGGTTTCCTTCCATCCCAGAAAAACGCACTTTTGGTTAACCCACCAGGACTTATCAGAGATTGATAACGCGAGAGTATTTAGAAACAAAACAGTCTGGTAAATGCACTTCAATACTCACTCCCGTCACGGATGACGTTAGGTAGCCCAATGAAACTCCCCGCCGGCCCCTGATTAGCGAATAGCAGGATCTCGTGCTGAGGGGAGCGTAAGGTGAGGAGCAAGGCAGCGGCATTCCAGTTCGGCTGGTACTCCAAATACTCGTTCATTTCCGACCAGAAGCGCTGGATTATCTGTTTAGCAGAACTATACATTCATGATACGCTTATTAACCGGTTTATGTTATCTTATTAAAATTCGAAGGGTCTGATGCAGCTAGTATAATTACCTCTCTATTAATCTCATATATTTTTTGTTGAGAATTTTAACGAATAAAAATTAAAGGGGAGAAGAAAGGCACAGAGAAAAACAGCGAGTGCAATGGTACACCATGGCTCACAACATTTGATTCTATTTAAAGTCAAATGTTTGGAAATGAAAACCTTTTGAAAACTGGAAAAAGTGTGGACATAAGACACTGAAAATTGTTCATTTTCAGTGTCATTGACACGTAGTCAGGATGGGTAACTTACCTCTTTAGTAGCATTCCTGTAGATGACGTCCAAGCATTTAGATCCAAGCTTCACGTTCCAAGTGTAGTAGATACGCCAAGGCTTTCCGACTACGAGTTCTGGATCGAAATACGGGTTCTTCGCGAACATTCTGCACATGTCGGCACTCTCCGTGTTATATTTCTGGCACGAAACTGTCTTCCCAACCGCGATTATTACCGCGGCCGACATTAAAATAACACGCGCTAAACGGTCTACCTCCATGTTAGAAAGTTTCTGTAGTCGGTAAATGAGCCTTTATAAAGAGATCGATAGGCGGTAGCGAAACCGTTGCTGTGGCTGATGTTTACTTTCATTGTTTTGAAAGAGTACAATGCAAGTTTGTTGAAAGTGTCACAAGCGGTTCAGTGTATACTTTTGGAAATGTGCATTGTGTTGGGTGGTAATAAGTGCTGCGTGCAATTTTCAAAAGTGTTAAAACGCTAATTTGTCAACATTGTTCCGTACCACGCTGGTGTGGTGTATAAATCGAGCGAGTTTCAAGAATAGTTCAAATCGCGAGTGACTTAAGATGGTTCACAGTGGTGGCAGGATAACAGTCTTCACTGTTGCAGGAACGGGCCGGCCCATGCTTTCAAAAGCAGAAGCCTTTGATTCGAAACACCACACACAGAAACTTGTGCCTGGCTTAGGCAGTCACAAAAAATATAAGGCGACGACAAATGTGTTAAGAAGTGGAAGTATCATACATCTGCGTTTCGTCTGGTGAGTGAGGCAGCCGGGGCTGACTTTATTAAAAGGTGGCAACGCATCTGTAACCCTACGGGTGTTGCGCATGGGCGGTTATCAATTAATATCAGGTGAACCGCCAGCTCGCTTGCCACCTTCTGATACAAAAAGAAAATTGTGGCGGAATGCTGTTTGTGAGTGTACTGTTTGTAACTTCTTTGTAAAAACTCGGAAGAAAGAAGTCTCCACTCATTGGATACCAGTGGGTTCACATGGCGACTGAACATCATCTGCCTACAACTGGCTTGTTATATATACACGAATAATCCCTCATAAATATTGGCTGTTGGCCAAGCGAAGCAATTCACGGATGTTTATCGTGTTGAATCCAATTTTACAGAATTCAAACATAGAGCGGTAGTTGCGCACGATAGCCGGCTACTTTGCGTGTGTATGGACACAACAGTTCATTTGCTGTGCTAGTGATGTACTGTGCACAGAGCCGTTGCAACGCGCTTTATGATTTCCTCATACAACGACAAGATTGTGTAATATTCGGTTTAAATGCAATTATTCATTAGGTATACACTTACACGGTTTTATGAGTTAAATATGGTCTTATTACTTAGTACTCTTAGTATACTATATTAATGTTGTTTTCTTAATTTAACAGTGAAGAAAAACTCTGTAGTCCGTTCGTCGTGTACATTGGTTATCGTTAAGTTAAGGCCATATTGTATCGCTGAAATATAGCATATAGCAGTGTGTGTTATAGCTCTCGAGCTCGAGTTATAATGAGCAGTTCGTTTAACATCACTAATCGTGGCGGTGGGCGGATTCAGTACGGGCCAGCGATGCGTATCTTCGGAATAGGTGGAATTGGTGGGTGGAATATTATTACCAGTCGTTATGTTCAGTGACAGAGCGCGAGGCCGGCTATAATGACTGCACCGCCCAGTGGAGTGTTTGGAGAAAAAAAGAAAACGGTTCTAAGGTTAGGTTAAATGTTACACCTTGGAGGGAAAGCATGCAATCCACATAGTGTTGTTTATCTTTGTTTTCGATAACGATACCACATAACTGTAATCGAAAATTGTATTCCTTTTACGGTCAAGGTAAGCGTACCCGATGTTAAGCGTGTCCAACTAAAGTCACAACTGCCTTCAGACAGACGATTTAATTCATAGAACATTTTAACTCGTTGCTTGTCCTCAGACTGTTGCTACGAAGATCGGTAAACATCCAAGTCCCTAATTTATATGGCTTAGTTAAAGATCAGACCAAATAAAACTTATGTATCGATTATTGATTGACGATAAATTTTAAAGGGGAGGAGAAGAAGAAAAAAAAAATATCTGGGAACGTAGGCTTAGAACCGACAGTACTTACGCTTACGCAAAGGCATCTTACGTTTAAGTTATAGTACGATATTGAAAAAAGTGTAATGTCATCTAAACTAACTACAACTGAGAAGTTCATACTAAAGTAATTTAGTTATTGCATTGATTGATTTAAAATATTTAAAAGATTTATATGACCCGATCAAATCCACTTAAGAACATGTATGAATTTGTTTGTTTGTTACTGTAGATTAAAATTACTCAGTGCGGGTAAATAATGTATAGCAAATGCTGTGGATTTTGTTAAAAGGATAAAAAATGTTTGTATGATACTAGACTCTAGATAAACTAGCCTCTTGTTAGCAAGACCGAAGACCACGTATGAAACATCAATTATTTGAAGAGTGATCGAGAAATGTGAAAAGCATTCTTGCATACGCATGATTTTCAAGAATGTGCTAGAGCTGGAAGGTTCAGCCGTTGCGCGAATGGCTTCGCTCATCCCAAGAAATACCCTGGCCTGGCTGAAGACCGGCATCTATTAAAATTATTTATCGTTTTCCCTTTCGTCTGGTGAATGTATCTAAACGACGTCTTCTGTTCTGAACTTCTGTAAGCGAAGATAATCACTTGGGTGAACCACCTCCTAGTTTACCAGTTCCTGTCAAAAAAAATCTTAGGTTGTTATTACCGAAAAACACGAATTCTTATAAATTTCCGAAGTACCCCACCGTATCCTTGGAGTAGTTTCATTATTTTTTACGGCCGACGTATAAAAATCATTACCGACTAAAGTGCCTCCGTATTGCTCGCCGACGCTCGCTCATAAATCTTTAAAGGCCGCTAGTACCACCTACCGAAGCCTCGGTCAACTAATAATAAATATTAAGTGTACTTTATAAAATGTTAACTCGCACGGGCGATAAAAAATCTTTTATCTTGACGTTTACAGCTAAAACGGAGCCGTTTTACAATTTACGCAGATTCAAATTGAAATCGTGTACGCCGGCTGTTTTGTCGACAAACCACTGCCAGTGACAATTGGAGATTTACTTTCACCATTATTCAGTTGACACTGTGGCGCAGCTTCTTAGCAATTGGCTTCGGCGCCGGGATCGTGAGTTCGATTCCCACAAGAGAAATAAAACATCGTATTGACGTCAGGCAAACAGGCACTAAGATGGAATACGGTCAGGATAAAGAAACAGTTTCACTTTTAATACTTATAAAATGTTTCAAACTTATATGGCGAAATAACACTCTTTATCCTATGCCTATGACAACATGTGGACTATAGACAACTTTATGTATAGACTGCTAACATTCTGTGAAAGTCATTACAAGAACATGTAAAATTTTGAAGATTTAAAAACACATGTGACTTAAGGTTCATTCATAAATAATTTAAGAATGGTAAAATAGCGACTTTATTAAATTTATCTGAAAATACTGGGCTAGACAAATAAATTAATATACCCAGACGTTATTATATAAACCTAGAGAGTTATTCTTTCTTAATAATGGATTTGAAATAAATGTCTGTCGTATCCATATAAATGAAAGGGTTATGAGCGTTGGCTAATAAACAACGGCAAACATAAAACTAATGACAAACATAAAGCTAAAGCAATGTTTGTACTAACTAATCAAGTTGCGTAACCACTGATGCTAAGATCTATAAAGTTTATTATTAACAAGTACACATTAATTATTAAATTTCATTACTTATTATTAATACTTGTTTGCAAAATGTTGTGTGCGAAAAATGTTGCATTTTATACAGCAATTGTGTTGTCTTTTGATTATTTAAATTTCAAAGCTCTTTTGCTTCATTCATGTCCATTCAAATTAATAGCAACCGTAACTAATTTTCAAATAAACTCTTTTCCGTTTAACACTATTTAGTATTATACTGTTTAGTATTAACTTGATGCTCGTTGGTGATGGACAATCAAAATCGATTACATCTTATGGTGCTTTTGTAGCTTCTGAATATATTAGTAGTAATAATCTATCTTATGTTTTTTATCCCAAGGTCACATTAGACCTGGGCTACCGTCATATTTTCATTATTAATATCCAATCAATCTATGCAAAAAGGCAGGCTTGTTCCCTCCTAGGGTAGAAGGATATTTATCATACTTGGCAGAAGTTAAACACAGTATGTGTTTCCACAGTCTAATACATGTCTTATTCAAAGCACACTGGCTCCAAGCACATTCCTACTGGTTTCACTCTGCCACCGTTACGTAATTGTTATTAAGCAGGAGTTGCTTCGCATCCTTCAGCTCAGCAGCCAGCTGTTCCTTGTCATAGATCCATCGTGCTCTCTGAAATAAACCCTGTCTCACAATGGCTAAATGATAAAGATGGTGGTGAGAATCACCACTTTTTGGATGGGTCACCTTTCTATACACATATACCAATAACAGTATAACGGTACCTTCGTAAAGTAAAGTATCAGCCTATGCATGTCCCACTGCTGGACAAAGCCCTCCTCTTAGTTCCTCGTAGATTGACATTATTTTAGTATAGTAGCCGTGGTAGCTCCGTGTCCACGCCCCCGCTTTTAATTAGTGTAGCAAACTTAGTTCAAATCTCTGTGCAGGCACGAGTGAAATCGCTAGGGCCCATATAGTGAAAAGGCAGTAACTTTATGTAAAGTATCAGCCTATGCATGTCCTACTGCTGGACAAAGCCCTCCTCTTAGTTCCTCGTAGATTGACATTATTTTAGTATAGTAGCCGTGGTAGCTCCGTGTCCACGCCCCCGCTTTTAATTAGTGTAGCAAACTTAGTTCAAATCTCTGCGCAGGCACGAGTGAAATCGCTACGGCCCATATAGTGAAAAGGCAGTAACTTTATTATTTATGTATTATATACAATACTGAAGTTGGCTACAAAAGAAATCAATAAAATATTCCATGTTATCTTCATTAATTGTGTTATTTACTATAATACCTTTGTCGAATGTTCGAATCTTTAATAAGGAAATCTTTTGTGCTGCGGCCTAACTTACCTTACTTACATTACTAGAATATTCAAGAGCCCATCAAAAACAAAGTCGATTACTTGGAACCGATGAGATGTGAGAACAGACGAACCACCTATCAATTACAAAACTATAGCCCCTCCCCTAGGTCAGGTGGACCGAGCCGAGGGCTGTCACGCGCAGCCGAGCGTCGCGCCACGTCAT